TAAGATAAATTTTAGTGTTGATTCCCTTTCAGCAAATCACAAGGCAGAGATTTAATGAGACACCTTTTAAAAAAGACTATCAGTCTATATGAAAGGAGCCCTAATGGCATAATTGTTAAGTTGTTGATATACTAGCTGCAAGTTTGGTAATTTTAATCCAGTCGCTTGCTCTGTAGGAGAAGGAAGAGTCTCCACCCACAGTCTTGGAAACTTGATGTAGGGTCTCAATGAGTGAGAATCCACTTGATGACCATGAGTTGTTTATTATCAGTGTATATTCAGGAACCCTGATGACACAGAGGGTAAGCACTTCAGCTGCTTACCAAAATATGTGTGGTTTGATTCTACCAGCTGCTGCATGAGAGAAGGATGATAACCTACTTCTGTTAAGATTTACAGACTTGGAAACAGTATGAGGTACATCTGTGCTACAAGTTTGCTGAGTAGGGACTGTCTTGATGGTAGTGGGTTTGGTTGGTTTACTACTGGGCAAGAAAAGGATTGTATGCAAATGATATTTATGATAGAGATACACGATTCCTTCATAGAACAAACAAGTACCACCAAGTCCGTACACCACTCTTAACTATACAAAAACCAAAAACCCATGACCGTCAAATCACTTCTGATTGACAGCAAACTTCCATTGGGTTTCCAATGGAGGAAATGGCCCATCTTTTGCCAATAAATTCCAATTGTTGAACTTTTGATTAACAGCCAGATATATGACACACTGTACTACCAGGGCTCTTATGACTGTTATTGTTAGGTGCTGCCTAGAGGATACGGCTCAGTGCAACCCTATGGACTGATGGAAACCTTGTCCTATTTTAACAATCTCCACCATGCTCAAGGCCTCTATTACAGCCATTGTGTCAATCCATCTCATTGAGTCTTCTCTTTCAATGATTTTTTTTTTCTAAGAACTTCCTCCCCCAAGCACTGGTACTTCCTAACAACATATGCAAAAGTATGTAAATGATACTTCACTATTCTTGCCTCTAAGGAGCTTCCTGGTTGAACTGCTTCCAAGACAGATTTGTTCTTTAGGCAGTCCATAGTATATTCAATGCCTTTCACCACCACAATTCAAAGGGATCAGTTCTTCCATCTTCCTTACTTACTGTCCAACTTTTATGTATATACAAAGGAACTGAAAATACCAGCGCTGGGTCATGTTGAAGTTAAGACTCCCAGAATAGAGGCCTTATCTGTCCGCAAAGCTTTTGGAGATCACTTTGGCCCGGAGATGAGGCATTAAAATGACAACTTCCAAATTGTGACTACAGGTTTGTGTTTAAGAAATATTTTTTAAAAAAATATTTATTTTTAAGAAAAATTGTTGGAACGAACTACTTTGAAAACAGCAATACCCCATACTTTCCACGTTACCGTCAGGCTTCACTGAAAATCTCCAGTGCACTAGTCCATTAGCATAATAAAACATGGACGTTTTTATCATGATAAATTTCTTTGTAATGAAATTCTAGGCCCTGAAGGCAATTTTAGTAGTGAAGTCCCTCTCATGTCATGAATGCCTGAAGGTCTCTTGACCTTGTGATTCTTTATGAAAGGGAGAGTGATTTTGACATATACTTATAACCTTTTAAATGTATATACTGTACATATCTGCTCTGATTTTTTCTGTTCCTTGTTAAAGATACACCCTACATATTATTATCAACATCAAAACCAAGAAAATTTTTATTAAGCTTTTTCTGACTAGTCTTAACATTTGGCCACAGTTTGGCTGAGATATTGGTAGCTTCCACATATTCTGGAAAGTTCCTCCATCTTCCTTCATGGAAAAAAAATAAACAACAAGTAATTACATTAAAATAAGTAAGCATTCACTCTGAAAATGGAGAAAACAAGCTTTATTATAATGATTTGCGATTCTGCATATGGTAAAGAGAGTATATGAATCTTGTTTCTCCTGTTTCAAGACAGAATTAATTTAAAGTTTTATTGTAGACTAAAGCATCCAAAATACTGTGGTACATATGTAACTACGAACATACAAACACTTTGATGCACAGAGTTCATTCTTTTCTTTAAATAGGCAGTCAGCATTTTGAGTCATAAAAGAACAAATGGAAATAATATATCAGTATCAATGTCAGAAAGCACAAGACTTGGTGTTCTATACACAGACATATGAAACAGACCTATAAAGATGGAATGTACAAAATCTAAAAAGAAAAAGGGGAAGCAAAAACCCTTCACACTCGTATCTAGGAATGAAAGGCTATAGAATTGAGAATGATATAAAGAATTCTATTACAAGAATACACTCTGCTGAGGACAGAACATTCCCATGTCATAAAGCAAAAGCATTGAGATTAAGGCTGTGTTGCTTTCAAAAATTAATGGAAGTGCTGTACATTCATTGGAACAACATAGCCAATTTATTAATCTACACTAGAATATTAATAACGTTCATACATTCTCCACAAACAGATCACACAATCACTGCCACACAATTCATCTTCAGAAAGTTCTTAAGATTAACATCATGATTTGTAGCTTACTGTCATTTAAAACAAAAAAATTATTTCTTTATAAGAAACAGATCTTTAATGGGCACTTAAGTTTTCCTTTATGGCAATATTAGATTCTTAGTTATCAAAAATATTAAAGTAACTGTAAAGTTTTTAAAACCCTGCAACATTTACAGAATGCAACAGTATTATGACTTTCACTGTTTAAGCAAAATTAGATAATGCTTGCATCAAAGAGCTGCAATTTTACCCGACTTTGGGAGTGGCTTGTTTTAAACTATTAAAGTGAAAACACTTCTCCCTTTTTAGAAGCTGGCAAATAAGAGAGGTTACAAGAGAGTCAAAACGTACAAAAAGATTTTTTCCCATTTGAAGTAATCTGCAGATCACTTGTTTATTTGATGTTTCCACCTATTAACTCAGCAGGCATTACCAGCAGCATTTATGTTAACCCTTCAGAGACCCATGGATACTTGCTTACGTACTGCTATTCCAGTTAACTCTGTGTTAAGACATACCCTGTATACTTCTAGCAGATGCAAGTGTGTTCTAGTTGCATGGATCTGGTATATTTATTTGCCTCAAATCTAGTAGTTAATTGAAAAATAAATTAGAATAAGGAAACTTTGGGACTTGTTTAGCTATTATAGACATAAGGTTTGGTCAAAATACCAAGTACTATTTTCTTTGAAAAGAGCAAACACTCCATAAAGGACTTTGATTCATGTGTTGTTTCTGATGATCAGTTAAGTGACTCCCTATAGCCCCATGTCCAGCAGGGGAGCTCTGTATTGGGAGGGAATGTGTCACTAACCTTTAAACTCTAACTGGCAATATTTTGCCCTAAGTGCCCAGGGAGGGGGATTGAATGAGTAATTTTTCAGTGCTACTTATCATGAATATATAACAGATTCTGTACATGACAAAGAGGAATCAAACAACAATAGTAGCCCAGAAAAAAGCTACTTCTTTTAATATCCTTCTTAGTTTACCAGGAACCATTTTCAATAGGATGCAACAAGATTTTATTTCAATCTTGTCTCTTTATATCTTATCAGCAGCACGTTTTCCCCCAAAATATGCATACCAAGAAATACAGTAAATGCACATATGTATCCAAGTATAACATGTTATCTGTACCTCAACATACATACTTATTTTTTTGAGAAAAATATTGTGTTTAATGGAGTGTCCATAAGCATGTATTTCAGCAACTGATGGTGGAACAGATCTGAATCTATTTCATTCCAGTTTGTGTCAGCACTGATATATAAAAAAATTAATCTTGCATCCAACTATTCTTGAGATATCCAGCTTGAAAAATGATGGCTGGTTCATTTAGAAGTTCATTCCCAAGTTCACAAATATAATTTAAATGTTGTACCCAAAAACCTTCTTAAATAAACTAATCTTAAGATCTTTAGCCTATAGAAGAATCTAAATCTTAAACCCAGTGCCGTCAAATCGATTCCTACACACAGCAACCCTACAAGGCAGAGTAGAACTGCCTGTCTGGTTTCTAAGGCAATACTCGAAGTAGACTGCCACATTTTTTCCCATGGAGTGGCTGGTGAGCTTGAACTTCCCACTTGTAGGTTAGCAGTCATGAGCTTAACCACGGTACCACCAGGGTGCCCTAGGATCCAAATAGGAAGCCATTTTTGCTTGTGTAAACAAACGAAAAGTAATTTAACCCATTTTATAAGTATTCTCTTAAACAGTCTAAGAACTATCAAGAATCTAGCCTATCCTCTACGAAGAATGTTAGGAGAGGGCCAAATGTTATACTTTTCTAGATTGTAAACTCCAGGAAGGCGAGGATGGGTGTCTGCTTCATACACCATTCTACTCCCAGTGCCTAGAGCAGCGCGTGGCACCAGGCAGACACTCAGCATGAATATTCAAAGACTCATTCACAGATATTAGAAGACAGAGCCTTGGTTTAACATTCTAAAGATGTTATTGAATTTCATCTTTGTCATAAACAGGCTTAACTATTTTTCAAACTCTATCGAGCTTAAAAAAAATACTAAGTCTAAAAGTAGATCTTGCTGAAGAAAATTTTTTCAGATGTTGATTTGGTCCTAAAGATTTAATAAACAACTGGGAGTAGCTAGAACTTTCCTATAACAGAATTTGAAATGCTATTTAAGAGAATGACTGGATTATAAATCAATAAGCCTCAAATACAACATTCATGGAATTATACATAATTGAAGAGGTTTTTGATTTTTCTTTTACTAGTACAGTTCTAAGGTCTTTCAGTGAAGAAAGACTTCAAAGGCATTAGTGAAAATGCCAAACATGACATCCTATTTGGTAGAACTGAGCAGAAAATTAAACAGTGGAAATGACAGCATCTTAATTTACAGTCTCAGTGACAGATTAACTGGTGACTAAATTATTCTTAGCATTTCTCAAAATGCATTTGTACTTACTTTAAATTAATTTTAAATTAACCACAACTCAAGTAGAACTTTTATTTTTGCCTTTTTTTCCTTTTTTTCTCTTAAGCGCACAGAAGGCCATTTCCTGACTAAAGGTCCACCACCATCATTCCTGGAAAACGGCAGAAATGAATCTGCTTTAGGGCTTGCTCCTCTCGGACGGCTTGAAGATGTGCAGTCAAGGAATGTGCTGAAGAATGGCTGGACGATGCCTGTCTGTCTTTTAGAGTGCTGCCTATTTCAATACACCAAAGAGTCAGCTATATATTTATATATTATACATTCTACCTTACCCTAATCATGTATACATAGTCCCTTAACACCTCTACTATTCATTAGACAATGATAAATAACTGTAACATGCCCTTACCTGTAATGCTTTTGAAATAACACAACTTTGGTAACACTTGCTTTCTAAGGGGAAACCATTGATCAATCACATGCCTTTGGTTGACACCATTCGTCCTCCAAAGGGCTACTTATGGCTCTCTGTCCTAGGATACTGGTGTCCTACTACATGTGCTGACATTTTGCAGGAGGTAAAGCTTTCGCTTTCATGAAGTGGAAAAGGAGAGACACAGGAGAGAACATGGCACAGACAAGATGACTTACCCTTTCCTTGGTTACATGCCAGTACATGAATCTGAAGCTCACGGGGCTGTCTGTTTACCAAAAGGTAGCATGACTAGTATTAATAATATGCTTTTCAAAACATTAGGAATTTCTGATCTCCCTAGAAATCAAAACCCCTTGGCTTTTTTTTATGCAGGGTGAGCACAAAAGGTGAAAAGAATGCACAGAAAGGTTCTTTGATCTAACCCAGCAAAGCTGGGAAATTTGCATTGATTCTTCAGTGCTAAACTCAAGGCCTGCCAATCAGAACTGGGAGGATTTTGCAAGACAGCCCTATTTTTCCTAAAGTAACTTATATAGAGTTACTGATGACCAGAAAAAATGTCACAAGAGTAATACCTACTGCAAAAGTGAGGTTAGAAGATCCCCCAGGGCTTGTGGCCTAGGTTAAATAAAGTATATAACGACAACTGATTTTATTTTGTTGTGTTTTTGGAAGCTCTCAGCAAAAGCAACCATTCACAGGACTAACAAATATCTTTAAATATTCTAAGTTTTTAAAATGTTTGTTTGATTTGCAAAATTAGTTTAACTACATAAATCCCTGTTCTCTAAGCCATAGTTCACAGGTGTAAAACTTTGCAGTTTTCATAGGTTCAATAGAAGAGTTGTTTTGTAACCCTAAAGGTGAATTGCAGAAATCAGATACGCAGTCTTAAGGAAATTGTTACATTCAGAAATAACCTCAGAAAGTTCATCAGTGATTCCTTCAAGCGCAAAAAAAATCTAGTCATAATCTGGTCCCGCGTTGAGAAATCCATTCCACTTTATAGTGCAAGACCTCTGTAAAGGGTATCTAGCCGCCCACTGTTACTGTAAGTATCTATAGACCTTGAAACAGTGATTCCCAGAGTCTGCAACCACAACGTGACCATCTGAAGTTAGGGCCAGGCCCTGGGGGCCGTAGAGTGGGTCAGCAGATGTGTTAATATAGGACAAGAACGATCCACTGCCATCAAAAACCTGTAAAACAGACAAAGTCAGAGTGTTAGGGGGAAAGTTGTCTTGATATGCCAAACTCCAAGTCAGAAAAACCCGCTGATACTTTTTACTGTTGATCCTGTTTCTGTTGTTGGTTTGTGACCCTGGAGAGACCCAATGTGTTACAGAGTAGGACTGTTCTGGAGGGCTTTCTTAGTTGCAATCTTTACAGAAGCAATCATCAGATTGGTTACTTCTGCAGTGATGATGGATGGCTGTCAATGGGCAACTTTCGGTTTTTGGCATTTGCAGAATGCAGGAACCTTTGTTGCTGATGTTTTTAAATATAAAATATATAAAGTAGGTGTGCACCCTGCAGGGTTTGTTTAGGTCACGATCATGTTCAAACTCCTCTCTCCACTTACTTTATCTCCTTTCCCTCTGTGTCGCAGAGCCACTGACGGCAGAACATGCCATTAGATGCCAGATCTCCTTATGCTCCTATAGCAGTCCCAACAACTGTCTGGTGAGAATGGCTGCTGATAGTCCTTGAAAAATGAAAGGCCTTTGGTTCTCAATCTAGGCCTTCATTCGTACCCTTCCTTCCTCACTGCCCTTTTTCACTTCTGATTACAAGGGAGAAAAATCAGCAACTAGACAGGTGGCCTAGTGGCAAGAAGCTATGCTACAATCCCGGAGGCATGTGGTTCGAGGCCACCAGCTGCTCCACGGGAAAAAGATGGGCTGTCTGCTCCCGTGTGACTGCCTCTGAAAAACTCGCCAGGGGGTCAGCTATGGGTCAGTCTCAACTCTACGGTAAAACAACTGGCCACAGAAGAGTGGCCCTGAACCACGATATTCAGTGAGAAACTAGAGATGTATTTTAAGTCCTCTGTCACTTTTTAGTAAAGAGTGAATTTAAAGAAGTCAGTAGTTCAACACGTACAATATGAAGGTGTCTTCCTTTGGTCTGTAAGATTCTGCCAACTCAAAACCAAACCCAGCACAGCTGCGTCAGTTCTTACGCAAAGGGACCTTTGGGGACTGTAGCACTGCTCCCCAGTTTCCATGTTTGAAATACATATGGAAGCCGACTGGGGCATCTTTCTCCAGCAGAGCACCCAGGAGTTCAGGCTGGTGACCTTCTGCTTTGCAGCAGAATGCTTAAAAGAATAAATCCAGGCCTTTAAACTGCTACTTCGTAACACTCAGGCTGGTTTCTTGTGATAATTTTGTTTGGCCTGATGTTTTGAAAGGAAACTAGGCTATTCACACAAACTCCATCAAGGTCACATTACTAACAGGATAGCTAGCATCTGTGGTCCTGCGCAGAGCTGCTCCATGACTTTACTCCTGCCATGCTTCTCTAGAAAGGTGTCTCTCTCTCTCTGTGGCCTTCAAGTCCCCGCTGACTGACAGCAGATCCTCCATTAGCTTCTGGGGCTATCAATTGCACTGGAGTTGACTGCAGGAAGGTAGATGCTATTGAAGTTTGTGATTGCAGATCTAATACATCTCTCATCAGATACAGAAATGCGTCTTTTAACTGCAGTCATTTATTGGGATAATTAAGCAAGAAAAATATATTGGAGAAATAAAAATATTCTGTGTTGTTCATTGCTGTTGAGTCGAGGTTGAGCACAAGGCCTATGAACAAAAGTCCTGAAGCCTTTCTATAACTATCAACATTTATCAAAGTTCATAGAGTTTCCAGACGCATGTTGTTTAGGAAGTAGATGCCACTATTTGTGATTGCTGATCGAATACATTTCTCATCAGATACAGAATGCTTCTTTTAATTATAGACGTTTATTGAGATAATTAAGATAAATCTGTTAGAGAAATAAAAATATTCCGTGTTACGTTTATAAATTCTTTTTCTAAGAAATAGACCCTAGATCAAAGTCAATCTGCTAGTCTTTTTTGTTCTTACAAATATACTGAATGCAAATTGTATACAGTGAGGAACAGATTTTTTGTGGACAGTGGTTTTAATTTCTCTGGGACAAATGCCTAAGAGTAGTATCACTGTAGGTACATTAATTTTTAAGAAATTGTTGAACTATTTTTCAGACTGAATACACCATTTTACATTTCCATTGGTAGTGTTTCTCTACAGCCTTGCCAACATCTGGAACTATTATTATCACTATTTTTCTTAGGTAATATATTACTGGAGTTTTAGCTTGAATTCAGGTAAGGAGTTACACTGCCATCCCAAATGCGGGCAGTTTGAATCCACCTGCTTCTCTGCGATATAAAGACAAGCAGTCCCCTCTTGAGTGATTTACGGCCTCAAAAAATCCACCGAAGGGTCAGCTTTGAGTAGCTATGAAGTGGTTCTGACTGAAGGGCAATGAGGGGTAAGTGAATAGCAAGTGAGGAAGTCTTGCTCGTGCTCTGGGCAAGCATTTGGCTATAATCAAAAGGCTGGAACCCACTTTATGGGAGAAAGAGGTCTGCTTCCATGAAGATTACAGCCATGGGACCCTCCCATCTCCTACTGGGTTGCTGGGATTCAGCATTGACTCGACAAATAAAAAAAAACTTTCAAAAAACTCCAAACACATTGAAAAAAAAAAAAAAAAGAAAAGAACTGATTCGACAGTAATGCCCATGGTTTCTGGTCAGTGTCTAGTGATGCTCAACAAACTTTCATGTGTTTATTTTTCTTCTTTAACATGATAAACTACATTTTTTTTTCAAATATGTAACAGGCTTATAACCTTATAGTAAACACCACCTGATCATGCTGTATAATTCTTTATAGGTCTATAGTTTTCTTTTTTTGTCCTAGTTTTGTTGTCAAAGTAAATTCGGCTTCATTAAGTTGAATTGGGAAGTTTTCCATCCTTTTTTATATTCTGGAAGAGAATGTGGAATTAGTTCTAATTCTTCTTTCACTATTTGGTATACTTCTTAAGTGAAATAATTTATTTCTGGAGGTTTTTTTGGGGGGTAAATTTTTTATAATTTTATTTTAATAATTTTAATGAACATTTACAGAGATTTTGGATTTCCATTCATTCATTGTTGCACTTTTCTCCCTGCCCAACCCTCCCTCCCCCCCAGTTTGCTTCTCTCATTGAAAAAGTAAAAGAAAAATTCTTACTTTGGCATACAATCCCCCTGCACCCCAGGTACACTCCACTATGCACCCTTAATTCTGGACTCTTGTGATAACCATAATACCCTATCGTATATCACTTTTAAATTATTCTTTCCCTCATCTGTTTCAATGCAGTATACATAATTTATCCAGTTTTTCTCAGTGTGTGTGTGGGGGGTAAATTTTATACTCACAAATTAAATTTAAGAGTAAAACTCAGTGCCAATGAGTTAACTCCATCTCATAAAGACCCCATTTGTATTAGAGTGGATCTGTGCTCTCATTGGCTGGATTTTTATAAGTGGTTGCCAGCTCTTTCTTCCAAAATGCCTCTGGGTTGAACTGAACCAATCTTTTTGTTACTGGTTTAATGTGTGAATTGTTTGCACCACCCAAAGGACTTCTGAATAGTAGTACTCAACTCAACTCATGGCTGTGAAATTGGAACCAACTCCCAGTTGACTCGTTAGCAGGTTTTCTGAGGTGGTAAACCACACTGGAGGAGACTGCCTGTCTTTCTCCCTAGGAGGTGATGGGGGATTTGAACTGCCACAGACATATGGCCTTTGGGTTAGCAGATCTCCTTTCTACTCACTAACCCACCAGAGATCCCTTGATAGTAGGGAGGGCTATTCAAAGGATCTATATCAGATGGGATGAGTGGGAGAGTTTGTACTTTTTGAGAAATAGGCCAATGTCATCTAAGTTGTCAGATATATATGTACAGAGATGTTCACAGAATTCTCTTTTTGATGTCTTCATGGTCTGATTAACTACTGATAATAGTAAACGTGTCTCTGTAATTTTTATTAACAAACTGTCAATTTTACTCATCTTTTGAAAAAATGAACTTCTTGTTTCATTGGTTATGTTGTTGTTGTTATGTGCCATTGAGTCCCTCTCCAGGATGAACCTGTTTGTTCTCCTAGTGGGCGATGGTATATTCAATACTCTTCTCCAGCACTACAGCTCAAAGGCATCAAAGCTCCTTCTATCATCCCTAGTCATCGTCCAGCTATTTTTCTGTGTTGAAGTTCACTAATTCTTGACTCTTTATGTCCTTCCTTCTGCTTGTTTTGGGCTTGTTATCTTTAGATTAGTCCTCTCTTCTAATGTAAACATTTAGTGCCATTAATTCCCTTTAAGCACTACTTTTAACTGCATCCCACAAATGCTGATGACATTCTAGAATTTGCATTTTTACTTAATCCAATGCATTTTAAAAATTTTCTTTGATAAATCTTCTTTGACATTTGGCGTACTTAATCGAATAATGCTTATAAAGGCATAAATAAACTACAAGAAATATAAAAGAAGACAATTATACTGGAATATAGTAACCAAAATATGTACTTTGTTAATAACAAGTTGCATAACAAGGAATATTGACAAATTTAATGTAAACAGTAATTTTTGAAGCGATGAGAAGAAATGACAACTTGATATATCTGCAATTATAATATAAAACTATCTGAGATTTCTTTTGGTGACAAAAACATGTATTAATAAAATAACTGTGATTATTACCTATAGTACTACTAGAAGGAAACTAACTTTAAAAGTTACTGAAAATATTAATATAAGTGTTTTGTTCATGGGTTTCTTTAATTTTACTCATAAACTATTTCAAGCTCTTTTTGATCTAGGTTGAGAAAATATGATTTTGGAGGTTTCTTTATGCAAACAAAACATGTAAATAAAATGACAGAAAAACTCCAAACCTGTTGAGATTAAGTAAATTCTGACTACAGTTGCTCTATTTTAATGTCCTCACTTTAATTTGTTTCATCTTTCTGAATTATTACCTAGGGTCCTTTGATCTGACTAGTGAAGAATGAAAATATTTTCAAGATTAGGAAAAGCAATTCTTCATTTTTAATAAATACTAGCCATTTTAAACAAATAAATTAGCACTTTGATCTACCTGGATTCTGCTGTTTCCCCAGTCGGCTACAATGATGTTTCCATTGGAATCCACCGCTACGCCGGTTGGAGCATTAAACTGCCCATTTCCTTCTCCATTTGAGCCAAATTTTAACATGAACTCTCCCTCTTGATTAAATACCTGCGGGAAATATTTAAAAATAATTTTAAGGTTAAAATTATTGTACCAATTATTGTAGATTTTCTCTTTGATTTGAGCAGGATATTTCTAACAAGACATGATTTAATATATTCTAAATATATCACAAACAAAAAATTCTACAAACTAGACAGCCAGCCATATCACTTGTAATTACACAATTTACTGCATAAATGTGTTTTTTTTTTCACTTGTTAAACCACTACTACTTTTTTGGTTTGTTTAATTGTATTAAAATACTTAAACTATAAAGTACTATATATACTCTTTTCAACAGTACTATTCTAAGTTTAAAGAAATAGCTAGATCTCAAGAATGGGAAATTATACTTCTAACTAGATGGATAATAGTTCAAACTCAAACTTTGGCTAAAGAGAAGGAGTTTTTTTGCTAGGCTAGATGGTTAAAACGGAAATCCATTTTACTAAGTTTAATGTACTAAAAAGAAATGGATTGGATTTTACAACTGTCTCAGGGCAATTCATTGTGTATCTGTGTGTGTGTGTATGTGTGTGTGTGTGTGTGTGTGTGAGAGAGAGAGAGAGAGAGAGAGAAGAAAGAGAGGAGAGAGCACGCAAAAAAGAGAGAGCAAGAGCGCGAGCTAGATAGAGAGATACGGTAATCAGGTAATTTTTCTTATTACTCTCATTTTATTTTTAGTTAAAATGAGCTTAAAGCTTTGGATAGAATCTATTCATAAGAGGGGAAGCTGCTAAGTGTACACTTTATGGATATTTTCTGTATCTAATATAATCAAGAAATGAGCTGTTGTGGCTAAGTAAATGTTTTTATCAATAGTATTACTATATATAGTATTGTAGGAAGCACTGATGGCTCAGAGGTAAGGAATTGCATATGGTTCAAATACACCAGGCTGCTTCATAGCTGAAAGATAGGAACTCTCCTCTCTTGGGGTTTATAGTCTCTGAAAACCTCCTGTGGGTTGGTTCTTCAGAGTACACATTATCATCATGTAAACTAGTTATTGTTAGATGCTGTCAAGAGTATGACTCCTAGCGACCCTGTGAAGAACAGATCTGAACCTTCTACTGTTTTGTGCCATCCTCACAATCTCTGACTTTTTTGAGCCCATCAGGACAGTCACTGTATCAATCCACCTGACTGAGGGTCTTCGTCTCTTTCTCTGTTCTTCCACCTTCCCAAGCATAATGCCACTCTGTAAAGAATAGCCTTTCCTAGCAACCTACCCAAAGTATATGAAAGGAAGCTTTGTCATCTTTGCCTCCAAGGAACACTCTGGCTACCTTATGTCCAAATTTATTTCTGCTGAGTTGATTTGGACTTGTAAAGGTTCCAAAATGTTGAATGTAAATGCGTCCACTCAATCTGAACACAGACTCAATGGAGGTTTTTCAACTGTGATCACAAAGGTTTAAAAAGACTATTTCTTTCCATTAAGCACAACAGAGCAAGAGGGAAAACCTCTACCCTCAAGGAGAAAATAATTTTAAGAAGAATTTTTCTGAATTAATTAAACAGTTCTCCAGTAATCAGTCTTCTGGGTTTTTAGGAAGGTCAGAGACAGTAAATACTAGATTTAAAAACAGAACAAAGCAAAATAACAAACCTCTTTCCTCTTCTCATTCCATTTACATAAAATATTCTAGTTTTCGAGGACAGGCATGGTTAGGAGCCTGACACCATACCTACCCAGATTTCTTTCCCCCAAGGAAAAGGAAGCATATACTTTGTTATTCTCTTCCTTACCTTACTAAGATCTACAAATAAACTTTGCTTGTTTGTGTCTCTCTGACTCAGTATGCTTCCTCTGGCATAATCTAAGCAGCTCAAGTACTCCAGCTGCGCTTGGGAATTGGGAAGAATGTCAAGCACAGTCTTATTAGTGATGAAAAGGAAACCCATGTAGAGGGTAGCTAATCAGGCTAACTAGGCCACACGTTAGTCCTGGCCAACAGGTATCATTGTCACATCTGCCAACAGAGAAATTGCCTGAATCCAGAACTACTGCTAAGTGCACCGCTTCAGGGGAAATAACAGTCTGAATATTTTATGAAAATAATTTTGCAATAGCTGTTATAAGGGAAAAACAAAAGACGACTGTGGTTTTCTGAAATAAGGGAAAAAATTGAGTTTAAAGAAATAATGGAAATAATCTAGCTCTAATGTATGAAGACAGAAGCATTTTTGGAATCTTAAAAAAAAAAAAAAGGTGCTCTGTTGATTTAATGGTAAGGAGTTGCCCTGCCAAACCCAAAGGTGTGTGGTTTGAATCCACCAGCTGCTCTGTGACAGTCTCTGAAACCTCACTGGAAGGTTAGCTATGAGGTTCCTACCTGATGGTACATAACAATACGAAGAATTTAAAAAAATTACTATTTTCTTTTATCCTCAACTGGAAAGTCATTTACTTGCTTGTAAATTAGTCAAATGAAAACATTAAGAAGAAGTACTGACTGAAATAGTTTTTATAGCTTTGCTTTTCAAAACAAGTTTTTCTAGAACATTTTTAACAACCTTGATGAAAATCTTTCTCCGATTTAAAAATTTGACTCATCCCAAACACATCCATTTGAACGTCTGCCCTGGTATGGTGTTCTCTGCTATGGGAATCACAGTTTGTTTTTTTTTGTAAATTTTTTCTTTTTTTTTTTTTTAACATTCCTGTTTTTAAGATATAAGTTACTGCTACATAATTTATTTGCTGTTTTTGTTATTTACATATGTTTTATTTCCTTTTACATTGCCGGCCAGCGTTATCCACAGGGGCTGACCCAGCTTCACTCAGTCTTAGGGACTTCAGGAACACAGGTGGGGAAAGGTTGTGAGGCCACCACAGTTGTGATGAGGGGGTTGTGTGGGGGAAAAAGAAGTTGCTTAGCATCTTTGCCAGGCATTTTCTGGCTTTTGCCTGGTTAAATCTAGATGGGATTTGTTCTTGCTAGGTGCCTTGTACTTAAATGAATGATTCCTCTACTATAAGCTCCTGAAGGCAGGAAGTATGGTACCAGTTGTATTGTTCTTAGATATACACACCCCCCTGGTAAGAGCCGCCACACAGCCCAGACCCTGTTGCCTCTTTGTTCTCTGTTGCCCACCACTACCATCCATCCATATTTATTTTGTCAAGTGTCCTTTTCCTAAGACCCCTCCCACAGAGAGAGGTAGAGACAGAGAATTTAGCTTATCCACATGAGGTGGGCAAGGAGGCTCAACCATGAGGGTCACAACCCTGGAGCGAACTCAAGGCCAAGGACAGCCTCAGAACCAGGCACCACACCATGAGAACCCTGGTCTAGAAGACTACAAGATACATTCTGGTTTCAGTAAACAAGAATTTTGTTTTGAAGCATCTTATCATTTCCTGACTTGCTCATAATAAAGGTAAACAATTTCTCTCCCTATTGGCAGAAGTGAACGGCACAAAGTCATTATCTGGATAACATCAAGGTTGTGAAAGCATTCTAAGAATTTTGAAGCATGCCACATGAATGTAAATCTGGGCCAATTTCTGCCCCTGCTCTGCTCAGAACTCTTATGTCACAGCATGCCAATATCAAAAGGTTTAGAATGCAAACAATTTTTAAAAGTTACTCTAATATTATTGTCAGGTACTGTCAAATCAACTACAACCCACAGTGACCTGTGGACAACAGATCTGAACCTTGCCTGCTTTGCTATCCTCACCCTTCCTCACACGCTTGAGCCCATTGTCACAGTCACTACATCAGTCCAGCTTGAAGATTTTCCTCTTTCTATGACCTTTCCCAGCACATTGTCTTTTTTCAAGAAATAGTCCCTCTGGGCCAGCTCAACAACATACTCAAAAAGTATGTGAGATGAAGTTTCACCACCCTTGCCTCCAAGGATCTACAAAATTTAATCTGCAGAAATCCAGCTTAGTTCAAGTATTTTTCATTTTAATTTTAAAATTATCTCCATTTATACCCATTTTAAATTAAGAAACGTATTGCCACTATATTCTGTTCAGTTCGTGACTCTTCAAAATCTGTATGTCTGAATTAAAATGTGCATCTGTTAGGTAGAAGCAATATCTACTCTTTTCATGTTTATATATTAGGTGTTTTCTCCTAGATCTAGATCTTAGTAAAGGCAGTTAAAAAGGAACAACTTTTGTGTTTAAGTACCTTGACAGAATGGTTATGGAAATCTGTAACAATGATTTCATTATTGCTATTTACAGCTGCAAAATGGGGACCTGCAATAGAAATGGGGGAAAACACGTGATGTTCATAACACCAGAAATGATTCATTGCAATAATATCATAATTACTGTTAAAAAAGAAACACACCCATTTTATATATATATATATATATTAACTCTATTATTTAAGAAAGAACAAATAATTATAGGCTCAGTCTGAACATCCTTCAGCCGTGCCTCTGGATCCAGGCAGCTTGGATCCTATGCTGTGCGACACTGTGCCCATCTACTCTGACTTCTTCCAGATCTAGGTTAACCATTTGAGCAGCCCTGATGAAGTGAAGTGAGCACCAAGCATCAGAATTCATTCTCCACACCACCATCTGAAAGTCACAATCTGCCAGCTCCCCTGAGGAGGTATTAAATCATTTTAGGTCCCTCAACTCCCTAGAGAGGAAAGACATGTTCACTCTTAGCACTGGAGGAAAGACGGCAGTGCATGATATTCTTAAGAACCCACATTCCCTAATATTGGGTGACATTCAGAACCTGGCAGAACTGGAGACAAAGCACAGTGAAAGATTATACAAAGTTAACACTGAACATGAGAAGCATCCTTTTAAAAAGAAACGTAACAAGACGGATTCGGAGAATGAAAAACTAAGCAAGCTTGCAAAGGGGTTTACCAAAAAGAGAAGCAAAGGACATGGCCCTCGTTTACCAAAGTTCTCAAATATCCTCCAGTGTTTTCTTCTAATCACCTAGGAAGTGACAAATTCTCATGCAAAATGTCTTTAAAAGGCAACTGTAGCGACGTGGAAATGGGAGTAACTCTGCTGTTTCCCAAACATCTTCTATTTAAAAGCAGTAATTTAAAGAAATCCCATTTTATTTAATAGTCCTATTCGAGGATTCGACTTCTGAGTTGTAAGCTGCCATCAGTAAACCCCACACATGGATTTCAGGCCAACCCACAGCAAGGGAATAGCTGAGCAGCATCTAACCATGCTTTTGCTTGGCTCCCATCCCCAGCATCTCTCCCAAAGCCAGCAAACATGCTGGGGATGCCGTGTCTTCAACATGCTCCGCCATCATGCAAGTGTGAGCAGAAGAAGCATAGAAAAGGGGGTTTACATATTACCATCGAGTGTACCTGCAAACTGCCTGTCCCCGTTTCCTCGGCTACCAAACCTGGTGACTATTTTTCCGTTTGGCTGGAAGATGAACACACAGCATGCCTTGTTGTCTACCACAATGATGTGCCCATTGCGGTCCACGGAAACTCCTTTGGGCCCCATCAGTTTTCCTGATCCAATTTTTGTCTGTTGGAAACAAGCACACGTATCAAAGCTTAAAGCACTGCAGTGTATGGATATAGACATTTGTCTTAATAAACATTTAGGCCCCTCGTGCAACTGCCATCCCCCGTGACTGCGGCTGCTCGCGCCCCACCCCCAACGCCGCGTCTCGCCGGCTGCCAACTCCGGTGGGGGCACCGGCGGGGGCACAGGCGGGGCGGGGAGCCCCAAAGGTGCTCTCTGCACACAACCAACTACTGTTTGCAGACCTGGTCCCGTGCAGACCCTGCAGGGGCAAAGCACCAAATAAAGGCCCTGTTCGCAAAAAAAACCAAACCCCAACACACAAAAAAACAAAACAAAACAAAAACATTTATTGGGTTCATTAAACTCATATGAGCTACTCATAGAGCTCAGTGACCTTCTACCTGGGGAAGTTAACTGTCTTTGCCGCATCTATTATCTGCTAATGATATTTAAATAAAATCTCTATTTTTAAAAACATTATCTTTAATTTTATATTGGTTCACACAAAAAATTCCTATACATTGTGTTTGATTATATACATTGTACTGCACACATCCCTCTATTCACACTGTGTTTCATATGATCATTCCCGTACACTGTGTTTTAAAAAATTAATCACCAATAATCCAAGTCCACCATTACCCTACCTTTTCAGGTCTCCACTGGATCTTTCCTAATTCCTTCACCTCCATCCTCTGCCCAACAAACTCTATGACCCTGAGTTTCCCCTTCTCCCCAGCCCTACTCCTCCTACACCCCTCCCCTTCCCTCTTCAGACTATTGTACACATCTTACGAGTAAGCCTTCTCATTTTACAATAATGGTCTTATGCAGTATTTTGTCCTTATGAGACTGAGTCAGCTCACTCAACATAATGCTCTCCGGCCTTTCCTATGATTTATAATATTTTTCTAAATCACTGCTCCTGAATGCTGCATAGTATTTACCACCAAAAAAGCATGTTCTAGAATCCCTCTAACTGAGGTTCTTTTCAAAAGAAGCAGTGTAGAGTAGTGATCGATCCCTAGACCAGGAATGAGAAAATCTTGTCCTGTGCTTCTGCCACTAGGTTTGGCAACAACTATGTTTAGCACAAATGGATTTCATGTCCTTGTGTTTCAGATTCCTTATGTATTAAGAAGGTTAAAAAATGTCCTCAGTATTTTCCATGGGTATTTGTGGACTATGTATTAAGTAAAATAATGAAGTATTTAGCATAGAATGTAGCATATGCTAAGCAGTCATGAGAAGGAAGGAATCACTGTTGTCTCCATGTATTATAATTGATATCACAATTTCCAGGCATCCACTATGGACCTTTCTTTGCCTTTAACTCCATGCAAGTGGGGATCAAGACTGCTCTATTCACTGTGTACTCCCAGCTTAGTACCCTTGACAGATTGTAGGTATTTGTTGAAAATATTAATGAAAAAAGTCTAGTATTATTACAGAATAATAATTATGAGGAGATGATTCTAATTTTCTGTGTTTTAAAACAGAAGAACATTAAATTTATACTGAATATAACATTTGTGTATTAAATATTATTCATTTCTCTGAGTAGGCTACAGTGTATATAGAAATGACTATCTGCTATGAAGAATATATTTATTGCCTTTAACTTGTGCTTTATAGCTCCATTTCCCAGAGTACTTATAAAGATGTATTTCACTCACTTCCCCCCTTCCATTTATTTAATATACACAAACACTGGTTAAGTATGTACTAGTTCCTGAAACTGTGTTTAAGATACTAGGTAAACAAATAAATGGATTGAGAAGTTGTAGATTCATACAATGGAATACTACACAGCACGCAAGAGTAATACTTTGTAAATAACAACCTAACTTGAGAGGGACTGGGAGAGCATTATGCTGAGTGAACTAACTCAGTCCCACAAGGACAAATACTGTATAAAACCATTATTGTAGAATGAATATGCAGATCGAAGGTGGAGAAGAGGTAGGGTGGACATAGACGGGTAAGGAGGGGGGTGGATAGGGTGTTAGTCGTAAGGTTGGACAATTCGACAGGTGGGTGGGGTGAAGGAAATGGGAAGGACCTTTTGTGTAAAATAATGTATTCAAACTTTTAAAATAAATTAGAGTAATATAAAAAAATTTTAAAAAGATATTAGGTAAACAAAGACAGTGAGTTTTATAGCTGCTGCCCCCAATGATAGTTTAATCTTATTATTAAGATTTTAAAAAGCTGGAAAATAAAGAAGAGGGGAAAATGAATTGATGCCATTGAATTGTGGTGATGGAGAAAAGTACTGAATATCCCATGGACTGCCAAAAAACAAACAAATCTAAGTTGGAAGAAGGGTGGGCAGAGTGCTTTTCAGAGGCAGGGATGCTGAGACTCTGTTCTATATATTTTGTGGACATTGCTAGGAAGTGCAGTCCCTGAAAAAGGACATCGTATTTGGTAGGGAGAAAGGGCCATAGAAAGTGAGGAAGATCCTCAACAAGATTGAATGACAGAGTAACCACAACAACAGGCTTGAGTATGAAGAGACTATAAAGATGGTATACAATTGGGCAGTGTTTAGCTCTGTTGTACGTAGGCTTACTAGGACTTGAGTTGATGCAACAAGATCTAACAACAACGAAAACCCTTTCAAAGTGTCTAATACTGAGTTCTTTTGGCAATCGATGGCATAGTCAGTACTCTTAACCAACACCACAACTCAAAGGCATTGATTTTTCTTCCATCCATCCTTAGGCACTGTCCAACTTACCTATGCACAGCTGCTGTGCTGTACCTGTGCACAGCAAGTACTTGAAAAGATCCTATCTTGAATTAGGTGCACCTTAGTCTTTAAACTGTCATCCTTGCTCTTTAGGACTCTGGAGGGGCCCTTGACAGATTTTTCCTATTGCAACATATCTTTCGGACTTTGGGTTAGTAGTGCAACTCCCTACAGACTATAGCAGCAGAGCTTCTGATAGAAATATATTTTGAGCCAAATAAACAATTTCAACTTTTTAGTAGTCTCATCACACCAAAAAACAAACAAAAAGATAAAAACATTATGTATTTCTGGACACTAAGGTGTGCCTGATATAGGCCATGGTCTTTGCAATCACTTGTTATGCATCAGAAAGTTGGACAATGACTACGGAGGACAGAAGGAGAATTGATGCCTTTGAACTGTGGTGCTGGAGGAGAGTACTGAATGTACCATGGACTGCCAAGAAAACAGATTCATCCTGGAGAGGATTAAACCAAGCAACTCCTTGGAGGCAAGGATTCTGGGGCTTCGTCTGACATACTTTGGGCATGTTGAAAGGAAGGACAGGTCCTTGGAGAGGGACATCATGCTTGGGAGGGAGGGTGGAGGGACGGCGCAAGAGGGGAAGACCCTCTATGAGATGGATTGATTAAGTGACTGGGGTAATCGGGATGGGTTTGTCAGAGGCAGTGCGATTGGCACAGGATAGAGCAGGGTTTAGGGCTGTTGTACATAGGGTCGCTATGAGTTGCAAATGACTCGACGGCACATAACAACAACAACAACATTTTATTTAACCTATTACATCTAAAGTACTAGCACTTCAACATATAAAAATATAGAGATATTTCACTTTTTAAAATTTTTTTTATTTTTTTCTTTTTTTTGTGTGTACCATCAAATCTGATCCGACTGGTACACAGGAGGAGATTGTCCCTCCTTCTTCAGCAGAAGGTGGATTCGAACTGCGTGTCTCCAGGCTTGCCTTACAGCTTCTTGTAACTAGAGATATTTGACTTTTTAAAGACTAAGTCTTTGAAATCTAGTGAGTATTTTTATATTGTTATTTTGTACTGTCAAGTTGGACTTGGCCTATCGCTGACCCTCCAGCGGGTTTTCAGAGACAGTAAATTGCATGACAGGAGATTGCCTAGCTTTCTCTGGCAGAGCAGTGGTGCATGCCTTTAGGATTGTAACATTGTTTTTTAACACTAGGCCACCACGTGTTGTTGTTGTTGGGTGCCATCAACTCAAGCACAACTTATAGTGACCCTATGAACAACTAATCTGAACACTGCGATCCCATAGTTTCTCTACTTTACACTTAAGGTGCTTATCAATCCAGACCAGCCACAAATCAAGCTCTCAAGGTCCACAAAGGGCTACCATACTGGATTGTGTGACTGCACACACTTCCAAGATCTCATTTATGTTTATGGCAATCATCTGTCACCTACATGTATTCCCAAACCAGCATCTCTAGTCATGGCCAATTTAAAAGCTGTTACCTTAAATCCAAGCAGTGTCAAACCAAATTTATCTTTGCATTTCCACCCTTAAGTAAAGGGGGGGAAAGAAACTAAAGAAAACACAAACACACACTTCCTAATTTTAAAAAAAACAATACTCTTCTTTCAGTTACTTAAGACAAAAATTCACTTGTCCTTTCAGTAGTCTGGACGTCAGTTTCCTCATCTGTGAAAAGGCAGCTATTTGTGCAGACTCTCTTGAGAAGATAACGGAAAGCCGAGCACATCATCTGGCTCGCAGGCACATCATCTAACCCATGGAAGGTCTCCTCCTCACCCATCTGGCTGATACTCTACCTACCCCATAGAGTTCTCTTCCTAAAGAGACATGAAGCTGTAAGAAGCAGAGGTTATGGAGGGAGGGTGGCTTTCCCATAGTGAGTGTTCCATCTTTACATGGTGTTGTGTTTTTTTTTTTAGAATGCAACTTTAAATTTAATGCAAATGAATATATAATAAAATCAATCATTAGTATCAAAAAAAGAGAGAACTACAACTATTGTAAACATATACTAATCTAATCGATTCTAATGTTTATACTATAAATATTTGGTTTCACATACTACTGCAAACAAGATTCTAAATTATTGTGACCAGTTCCCCCCCTTTTTTTATACTTTAAATATGTGAGTGGCTGATACTCATATTTGATATTTTAGAGGAAAATGATATTACTACTAGAGGAAGGACACAGGAAACAATGGTATCTTTGGCAAGAGAATTTTTTGTGG